CTGATAACCCTTAGGGAGAATAACCCCTGACCTACTTCTGTTGACTTCCAAGTTTACAGTCATTTGCCACATGTAGCAAGTAGCTATGTTTGGGATATATTTGGGGGAAACATCTTGGGAGAAATCCTTCTGTTTCCCACAGATTTTGATAGTCATGATGGCTTCAAACTTGTGCAACCAGAGATAATTTTGCTGTTCTAACTGAAACTTTCTTGAACATGAAACGGATTGATAGGAAGACTTACATATACCAGGACATAAGATGCAAACATGATTTAACCTAGACTCCATGAAGCTTAAACTATGTCAATAAAATATTTTGGCACGTTTGCACAAAAAAGACAAACCATATGGAATGCTTTTCACTCTTTTTCTATATACTTTAACGTTTCTAAGTGTAACCTTAACATGTTAGTTAAGACATAATTCAAAGACTATTTCATGAGGACTTCCATTAAGAAAGAGCGTGGAACATTTTAAAGAAGAGTTTTATTCATCTTTGGCAGGTATCGAGTTTAAGTGTGAGGAGGTGTGACACGGGGACCCGCGGGCTTCGGGCAGGTCCGCCCGCAGTTTCCAGGAGGAAGATCCCCGGAGCCTCTGTGCGCCGTGGCTCTAGCGGTCTGTGGAGGGGCCAGGACCGGGGGAGATGTGCGCAGTGGAGGGGCGGAGTTGCGTTAGGTAAAGATGGCACTGAACCGAGGGGCATGTGTGGAGGTGTCTGATCGCTGGGGGCAGCTGGAACTGCAGACAGAGCACAGCCTTCAAAGCCCTAGGGAGCTCAGTGGGAGAGGGCGGGGCCTGGGGGTGGGACACGTCACAGCACTTGGCCTGAGCGTCCCTGTGCTTGCCCACGTGTGCCCCCTCTGTGCTGACCACTGGTTGTGCCATTGTGATGCTGTGCCCGCCTCAGACGGGGGCGTCCAAACCCGTGGCTCTCCGGATCTCAGATTCAGCGGGTAGGAGTGCCCCTCAGGGCTCAGGGCTCCTAAGAGAGGGAGTGTGAGCGCCAGAGACTCCCGGGTCAGGTCCACGGGGTTTGTGCCTTTGAAGGGGGCAAGTCTTCCCATGTGGTCCATGTTTGCTGTCCCAGGCTTAGCACCACCGGGGCCCTGTGGGGAGTGGCGGCCCCCAGGGAGGGAAGGCGGTCGGGCTGTGGAGGAGAAGGGTGGATTGGAAGGTGGGGGCAGTTCTTGGGAGCTCTAGTGGAGGTTTCTGGGACCCGGGGCACCTGGCACCCAGCCCAGAGCCCCCGTTCCCGAGTCTTCAGTGGGCACCTGGGCAGGGGAGCGGGCTGGTTTTCAGCAAAAGTCGCTTCATCATGGAGCCCCCTATTGGGAAACCGGTACCCTTAGGAAAGGCTGCTGGTTTCTGGTCAAGTAGGTGAGGGTGAGTCACGGACCAAATCGGCTGTGAAAGAAATAGAGGGATTTGCAGACAGCCTTTTTGCATGGGATTGGAAAGCAGACAGTGATTCCCTTAGGATTCCTTGTCGAAATAGTCACAGGTGCCCAAAGGGTAGAATCACTCACTGTCCCTAGAAAGCGTTTCAGAGCCCTTACTGTTCATTCTCTCGGTACCCCATTTTCTACTTTTAGAGCGAAGAATGCCGAAACGCAAGCGAGGCCAAGGCCGAGGCCGAGGAAGACCTGGAAATGGTCAGACACGTGCTAACCCGGAAGCTGGTCCTGTGAGTGTCTTTAGCATCCTATTTACATTGGCAGAATTCTGTTTGGTGGCAGGGTGCGGGAGAAATGAAAAATCTGTGAGGCCATACATGTCTGTTGTGTAAGGAACCTTCGTGCCAAACATGGATGGAGACTAAAGCTTAGGAAGGACATAGTATGATAAGGAGAATGGCATTCTGATATGTCCTGGATGTGGATGCCATGTCCCTGGAAGCAGCCCCCGTGACATGACGATCATGATTATTTGTGAATAAGTAAGTGCATTTACAGAGAAGAATATTTGGAAAAACCTTTTATTTGTGATTTTCAACTAGTATGTATAGATGTGCCTTCCGTTCCTGTCACAATATTAATGGCTATACTCCTTATTTGTACTCCCAAGACCCAGCAACCCACCGCTGACCCACGCCCTGAAGAAGATGCTTATCCGGGGCCACGTGGAGGAATTTCCGGCTGCTCGTCAGCTGAAGGTGAAGGGGGGGAGCAAGGAACATTTGAGATCTCTCCTATTAGGTTCCACTGGACATTAATTCGGTAAGAGGGCAAGAGGGCATAGTTTGTGTCTCCATACAGTTCGACAATATGAGATGTTTTTCCACGTTTAATATTTGACCAGTCTTATCGTGTAAGGCTTATTTGTATGATAAAGCCCATGTCTAAGCTCTTCGGTAACAAAAAATAGAAACTACATTAAATTAATCCATGATATCATACACTATTTCCCTAGTGAAAACTTGTCTTCTGTGCTTCTGAAGCCACTCATTGCATCAAGGTTGAGCATATCTAGAATACTATGACTCCTGGATGATAAGAGAAATTTTAGAGCTTTTCTGAGTATTAAAGTCTTCAATATATATTGTTAGAAGACTAATCTAGTTCAGTCTTTGTTTTAATGTTTTACTTGGAAAAGAATTCCAAATTTTAGAAAAGCTAAAACTACAGATAGTGCTTTACCTGTACAGATGAACTTTACCTTGATTTACAAATTCAGTTTTACCACGTTTGCTTTGTTTTCACTCTCCTCACCAGACTATTAACAGAACTACTTGTATGGGAAAAGCATTAGGGTTGTTCACACATCCTAATGTAGTTCGGTATATACAGTATTTCTGAAGCACAAGAATATTGTCTTATGTAAACCTAGTATAATGTCAAAATGCAGGAAATTCACTCTTGGGAAAATATTTTATACTGTACAGTCTGTCCCAGTTTCATCAGTTGTCTCAATATTATGCTTTATGGCGCATTTTATCTGTTATCCAGGATCGTATCAGATACCTCTTATAAATGTCTCTTTGGTCAATTAATCTGGAAGTTTTTCTTACTTTTTCTTTGTCTTTCATGACAATGACATGGTATATTTTTGGAATCCAAAAAAGTTGTTTTGCACAATGTTCTTCAATTTATGCATGGATGTTATTATTTTCAGAGACCTTGTCACTCGTTTTGTGGGGTCTAATAGGTGCTGGGATGTAACGGAAATGTGAAGGATACCTGTCTTGATCTCTACTCAGAGAAATTCATGTATAGAAATGACTGCTTTGATTATATAAGTGCAATAATACAAGTATATCTATCTAGCTTATTAAGTGACAATTGAGGTTGTCTTTATAAAGCTGTCCTGAACAGTCTCAGGGAAAGAAAAAGTCATGGATGAGCTAATGCTTGGGAATCTAATTCCCCTGTTTATTCCTACGTGGGCCTCCAAGAAGCCCTGGTAACATTGCGGTTGTATTTGGGCTCCTGACTGCCAGTGTCACAGTTGAAAACCGCCAGCCTGTCCGGGGGATAAAGACAAGGCTTTCTACTGCCCCAAAGACTAACAGTCTTGGCAAACCATAGGGGCAGTTCTGTCCTGTCCTGTGGGGTCGCTGTGAGTAGGATGGACTCAATAGCTGTGAGTGAGTGAGCCTACACAGCTTCATTTCATAATACCAATTTATGCCTGATTGCCTACAGTAATAATTATTTACTTATAGAAGGGGCTGGACAAGAAACTGACAGCCTGGAAAAGGTTATCAACAAGCCTGACGGTGATCAAGGAATTCATCCAAAGGTAAAGGAAAGAATCCCACTACACTGTAACCTAGTATAATGCTTGAAGCAGGTACGTTATTCATTAAGAATGAAAGTTACAGTGTTGCTGTTTTCTACAACACTGCCTTTCAGTGACACATTTCACAGACATGAATTATTTTAAAGGTACTTCAGGTACCAAATATTTGACTTACAGACACTGTCAAGGACAAGAGTAAATTAGGCCGAAGTCATATTGTTGAATTCTAAAACATAGATGCATTTTATTACTTTGGGACATAAGGTTTTTTTACATCAAAGGCAACCCAAATGCATTATTTAACATACTACCTGAACAGCACACTAGTATTGGGTTTATTTTGCCAGAACTGTTTCTCAAAAAGTGATGTTCTCTTAGAGACAGCAAAATATAAAGCTTTTCCAAGCTGCTTTTTAATTTTGATGCAGTCTGTGGGAAATGCTAGCATTTCCCTTCTCTTTGTCATTCCGTCCATGAGCAGGAGGTAAGAGGTCTATGCGATGCCAATGGCTTGCATTTAACGAGCAACTAAAAGCTGGGCAGTACTGCCGCAGAAAGGCCTGGCAGTCAGCTTTCATAAAAATTGCAGCCTAGACAACCATAGGGAGCATTTGTACTTTCAGTAGATGGGCTTGTCATGGGGATTGTCAGGGATTTTTGTGGTCACATTGGCGTCAAACTAGTGCGACCCATGATAATTTTGTTGTTCTAACTGAAAATTTCTTGAGCGTGAATCAGATTGATAGGAAGACTTATATATACCAGGACAAAAGATGCAAATAGGAGTCACGCTAACACGATTTTACCTAGACTCCCAGAAGCTTAAAATATGTCAATAAAATATTTTTGCACATCTGCGCAAAGAAGACAAACTGTATGGAATGTTGTTCGCTCTTTTTCTATTTAACATTTCTAAGTGTGACCTTAATATGTTAGTTAAGACATAATTTGAATACTACTTCATGTCAATAGTTCTTCATTTCAATTAGTTAGGTCCTTTTTTTTTCAACGAAAATCATGGCCTATTTTTTCAGTCTTCCTAAAATTTTCTTTAAATCGGCTCAAAGAATTTAACTTCTGTGCTTAAGTCACCTTATTTCTTCATAACACAAGTAAAAGCGAGTGTCTTTAAACATATGGCCATGGGCCTGAAAATGTACCTTAGATTACTAGTCTTTGCAAGGGTTAGGAATCCTCATTTAGCTGCATTTCAGAGAACCAAATTCGTAGGGCCCTTTGTGTGACTTTCTGATTGATCTATTAAATTTTTGCTAATTAAGGGATGTTGCCCACTCTTCTGCTTATCTTACAGGGGATGAAGAGAATCATAACACAAGTACACAGCAGAAGGCTTGCAAATTTGATGCCTTAAGTTCAATAAAGCACTACCTGTTCTAAGGACTCGTGTACCTTCTTTGTTACGTCTATTCCTAGGAATTTTATACCAGGTAACTGGTATCAAGTTTTAAGAGGACGATAGTCAATTTAGAGTTGACACATCGAAGTGATAATTGTTTGATGCATGGATTTTGTGTCTGGCAAACTTGTTAGACATGATCATTGGAATTGTCTTGACCACCTGTTGAATTCTCTACATACGTAATCAAATAATACACAAATATGGCTTTCTTTTCTCATTTTGAATCTTTATGCATTTTGTGTCTAGCCCCTTACCCTAGGGCGCTGGCCAGATAACCCAGGACTGTAGTTATTTAGACTGTGTTCTCGAGAGAAACAAAAGCAGGGCACTTATGATTTTACATATATAGATATGCCATACATACTCGTGTATAAGCCCAGTCCCCCGGCACATTTTTAATGCAGTTTTTATGGTGGAATGAGGTGCCTGATATTTGGGTCCGCTTAGACTAGCATATATACAGCCGAAGATATATACAACATAAGAAATAAGCAGCTCATTAGTCCACAGAGCAGCAAAAATGGTTCAGTTCCACTCACTCCCATGAGACGGTTCGTACACTGGCAGTCCTTAGTTCACGGGGGCTGCTGAATGCAAGGGGAAAAAGCAGACAGCTGAGTCTTCTGTGGACCAATAAAGGCAGTCCGGCCACATGCAGCAAACAACAGAGCAGGTCACCAACAGTCAGCCAGATGACCGGGTCCCATGGTCCCCAGCTCAAGTGATATATACACCAGCAATGTGGCGAAATGGGGCTTGAAGGAACCGCCAACTATAGTGACACCATCCACGGGTTGGGTGTCCCAAAGGTAGTGTAGCTCGCAAATTGATGCAAGAAGCTAGTTAAGGTAGCTGCACACTGGTCTGATCATCAGAGAGCAAGAGACAGACAGGCAAGGCTCGCCGAGCCATTTAGCTATTTGGCCTTCAATTAAATTGCAACCTTCTTAATCCCACATTTGTTCATAGGCCAGGTTGGCACAATAAACATACCCATCAGACATGGTAAATGGAAGTGATAATATATTCCCGATGGACATCACTCTGAGGCACACTCCAGTTTTAAAATATGTGCATCTAGACCACAGTCCTCTCCCTGTGTAGGCCAGGAGAACTCTGTTGTAATAATCCAGCAGCACTGAAGTACAAGCTGGGCAGTGCGTGCTAGGCCAAGACAAGCCAGCGCCAGGACTCTCGGAGGCACACTGTGTCTGGAACAGACTCCCTGGTCCTCCAACATTGGTGGTTTCCTCTGAAGTCTGTGTACATGCCCGTCCTGGGCTGTCATCCCTAGCACCAGCACCAGCAGTGGCTTTCTAGCAATTCCCAGCCAAAACCAAGACCTGAGCCGCTTATTCTGGGCTGTAGCTCCATGGGCTCCATTGTGCGACTTCCCAGTGCCCCCTAGCTCTCACAACCGGATTGCTATGAAGTACCTCAGACCCACCCCTACTACACCCTGGCAGCTCCACAGACCAAAGCTGCTGGCCTTTCATTCACAACTGCTGCCCAACCCTAGGACTCTGCTAGGGCTTCAGGGTCTTGGGATTGTGTCCTTGAGCTTAGGCTGATGACGAGTCATAGGGGAAGGGCCAGCCTAGAGGATGGTTTCACTGTGCCTTGTCCCTCCCACTTGCATTGGAAATAAGAGTTGGCCCACTCCCCATGTTACTCAGCAACATCTGCAAGGTCAGAAGGCTGCCTGGCAAAGGGATGTGCCTTTGCAGGTCTAGCAGCCCTTGCTTCTCTGGCCCTCAAGGTCTGGAGTCTCAGCCTGCCCTGGGGAGAGCTGGGGCTCCATCCTCCAAGTGATGGGCAGAGTTTGAATGAGAAATCGCACCGGGATGGTGGCCGTTAGGAGAGACAGTCTCCAGGGCAGTAATCATGGTCCATCTGATCTCCAGGCTGTGTTTCTTAGAACTGGGCCTCTGAGTTGACGGTTCAGCACCTCGCAAATGCCCTGGACTTGGCAACCTCTGGGTCCCCACCCCGCAGTGTTGAGGAAAGTCAGCATGATGAAGGGAAGGATGACAAATTAGGACTACCATAGGGGATGGGCAACCTTCTACTCCACGAATTCTAAGCGTGATCTCTTCAAGGGGATCTCTTCCCTCTCAGCCATTGGCGGAGTGCCCTTCCAAGTACACTGGCTGTGAGTGGAAAGAGCTCGAGCCATCTCTTTTCTCTACTTAAAACCTGTGTGTACCTTTCCTATGTTACTGATCATTTTTGAGACTTAGGTTTTTAAAAAATCATTTACTTGGTGGCTTATACAAGTCTTATCACAATCCATACATATGTCGTGTGAAGCACATTTGTTCATTTGTTGCCCTCATCATTCTCAAGCCATTTGCTTTCTACTTGAGCCTTTGGTATCAGCTCCTCATTTTCCCCTCCCTCCCCACTCCCACCTCCCTTGAACCCTTGATACTTTATAAATTATTATTATTTTATCGTGTCTCACACTGTTGGACATCTCCCTTCACCCTCTTTTCTGTTGTCCATCCCCCAGGGAGGAGGTTATATGTACAACTTTGTAAATGGTTCTCCCTTTTTACCCCATCTTCCCTCCACCCTCATGGTATCGCCACTCTAACCATTGGTCCTGACGGGTTCATCTGTCTCCTATTCCCTGTGTTCCTGGTTCCTATCTGTACCAGTGTACATCCTCTCGTCTAGCCAGATTTGTAATATAGAATTGAGATCATGGTAGTGGGGGGAGGAAGCATTTCAGAACTAGAGGAAAGTTGTATGTTTGATCGTTGCTACACTGCACCCTGACTGACTATCTTCTCCCTGAGACTCTTCTGTAAGGGGATGTCCAGTTGTCTACAGATGTGCTTTGGGTCCCCTCTCTGCACTGCCCCTAATTCTCAGTGATATGATTATTTGTTCCTTTATGCCCGATACCTGATCCCTTCAACACCTCGTGATCACACAGGCTGGTGTGCTTCTTCCAGGTGGGCTTTCTTTCTTCTGAGATAGATGGCCGGTTGTTTACCTTCAAGCCTTTAAGACCCCAGATGCTATATCTTTTTGTAGCTGGGCACCATTAGCTTTCTTCACCACATTTGCTTATCCACCCCCTTTGTCTTCGGAGATCATGTGGTTTATAAATTACATGTAATTTCTGCCTTGCAGGATTTCCGTAGAAATTAAAAAGAATATATGACTGATCAAAGTGAACAGTTCATCTTTTTATAGAGGAGACTGGTGGTGGTGGTTTTATCAATTGTTACCCCAAGGTCAGCAGTTTAAAACCACTAGCAGCTCTGCAGGAGAAAGATAAAGCTTTCTACTCCCCCAAAGATTTACAGTTTCTAAAATCCACAGGGGCATTTATACCCTACCCTACCAGATCACTATTGGTCAGAATTGAATCTAGGGTAATGAGTTTGTTTTTGGGATGCATACTCTACTGCTATTGTTACGTTCATTGACTGATTATTTGGTTTAATATTGAACCATGTGGTGAGTTCATTTCCAGACCTGAAAGGTGACTAAGAACAATAGTTTCAGGGGTTCCAATGGATTTTTATCTGATCAGTAAGTCTAATACTTTCTATCATTTTGAGTTTTGTTCCACATTATTCTATAAATTTATCTAAAATCTATTTCTCATATGATCCCTTTCAGAGACATTGGTAATGATAACCATTTACCATGTAGTTCTTCTGGTCTCTGGGCCATGGAGACTGGTTTTTGTATGATTCATTATTCCAATGGATTAATTGTTCCAATGTATCTTTAATTCTCTTCATTCCTCTTTTCTCCGGATAGGGAGAGACTAATAGTTTCTCCTTAGATGGCTGCTCTTGACCTATTAAGAACTCACTCGTTACTCAATAAAGTAGAACATTGTCTTTGTGGATTATATTACCCCAATTGACATTGGTGTCCTTGCAAACCATGGTCCTGAACCTCAGGCCTGTGTCTCATTAACTCAAAATTCTTGGTTAAGTCCAGGAAGTTTATATAAGTTTGTCTCCTGTGGGAGTTAACTAACTTTTTGTCAACTTGAAGATATATAAAGGTGTAGGGTTGAAGTCATACCTGTAAAGCAGGTCATAGCCTGATGATGCTTCTTAGGGGTGTGATTTCTTATGAGGAGTGTGCTGGGAGCTTCTCTTTCTCTCTGCTATTGATCTTGAAAGCTGCTGGTGCCCCCCCCCCCAACCTGTTTCCAGAGATCTTAGATCTATGAGACTTTGCACCCACCAGTCTGTGTGATCTTGCTGCTATCTATATCATTGTATGTGGCTGTGTGAGTTCAAAGATGGGCTTAAGGATTAGTATCAGATTTATAGAATTGAGTTGGATTGGGCTGGGATGTTTTCTTGTTATGTAATTACTTCTTGATATAAAGTTATTTCTTTTAAAACATTTATTTATATCTTACACCATCCAATGTATCTGTTTACCTACATTTCTGTTATTTACTCCCCTCAAGTGGGGCTATACTGTCATCATTGCTATTGGTTCCCCTTATTCCCCTTTCCTACATCTCTTCCCTTGCCCTCAGGGAATTATTACTCCCATTTCTATTTCTGAAGTGTTTATCATGCATTGAACGACCTTAATTATACAGATGAACATATACAGGCCTCACAAGATTAATGAGGTGCAACTAAACTATAATAGTAAGGGGAAGAAAAAAATTAAAGAACTAGAGGATATTCCGGTGCTTCATCAGTGCTACACTGCACCCTTGATATATCATCCCTTCCATGTGGCCCTTTTGTGAGGGACTGTCCAATTACCTTACAAGTGAGTTTTGTGTTTCCACTTTGTCTATGCTCTGTCATGTCAATTTGATTGCTCATTTAAAAAATTTCTGATACCTATTCCTGCTGACACCTCATGATCGCACAGAGTGCTTTGTTTCTTTCATGTGGGATTTGTTGCTTCCCTGCTGGATGGCCACTTGTTTGACTTCAAGCCTTTAAGACCCCAGATGCTATAT